ACAGTGTCCTTTACAGTTCTGTGGCTTCCATTACAAAACGTCGTCCAGCTCAACACGCACATTCCTGTTTGGAATGATTAGTTCCTGGATGGGCCTCTGTGGCTCTTTCTGCCCTTCCTATTTCACTATATTTCGATAAAATTCTCCACTTGCTCCAAGCAATATGCCAAATCAACACGAAAAATAGAGGATAGCACTAAATCTGAGGTAATAACTGAAAATACAGTCGCAATCTACTACCTCAAAATAAAGATAAATCATTGAAGAGCATGGAAATGGGGCTGTTTTTTACCGGGAAGCACAAGCACTCACCCTCATCATCAAACCACACATGCTGAATACCATTCCCAGAACGTTCATGTACTCCGGAATCGGATCATCGGCAAGCGCAGCCGATGTTTGTGGATCGGCCGGTTTGTAGCTGTAATTTGCGCCTCATACAGTTGGATTATACAAAATTTAATGAAAACAGCGATGCAGTAGACAAACTTTAAAACTACAGATAGGTTAAAAGCAGAACCACTGTTTTCATTAGCAAAATAGCCTGTCAATCCGTCCAAGCCCCGACATGGAATATCTTATTCTAAGACCACCAAAATCGCCAAATTTATGACCATTTTAGTTTCTTGAAAAATACTTTCCTTATAAATATACCACTCAGAAAATTGGTGTACTCTGAATGAAATATCAATATGTAAACCTCCATTAATGTGTCCTCATATCCCTTTTCCATTTGCTCTTTGTAAAAATATTGAAGAAATCCGAAGTATTTTGGGTGAGTAAGAGAAAAACTGCTAGAAAACTGCCAAAAACAGCCTGCCGGACAGCTGTCGATCGCTTCCCTCGAGAACGGATTCTTAGAGATAATGGCAGTTTAAACTTCCTCCTATGCGTCACTACAGTGTCTTATCAAAACGATCAGCGAATCGTGGAGAGGCAGCTAATTTCACAAAAAAAATCGGGAATTGTTAAAATTATCAAAAAAAATCTCATTATTGACAAAACCAAATTGTCAAAACTAAATCAAAATTATCAAAAAACCAAAAAATTATCGAAAAATCAAGAAAAATTATCGAAAAATCAAAATTATTGATGAAAAATTGATTGAAAAATGCAGGAAAGGGAGCATGAGAAGGTGCGAATTTTGACTAAACAGTTTGCTGATGGTATGAAAAATATCATCAATTGTTATGGGAGAGGGTTTAAAATTCTGTTCAGCTGCCTAATGAGTATGAATAATATCATGCAAAATCAAATAATATTTGTAATCAAATGATTTATAATGTTATGAAAGTAAAAAACGCTTACCGAACAACCCTGTTTGATCGCTTCACATCGCCGTTTTGCATTTCTTTATTTTAGTCAAAGAAGAATACAAAATTTGAGCCTGAAAATGATTTATTGGCAAATGAATAGCCACAGGGACAAGGATTCGCTGTTTCAATCGCATTTAACTTAGCCTAGGCACAGGCGGATCCACGAGGTTTCCTGGAGGAAAGCAG